GGAGTGGTGGTGGCCCATAGCTCTCAGCTAAGACACATTGCTTGCACCTAGCAGAAGAGAGATACCTCATCCAAGATCAAGCTTCCTCACTAAGGGTCAATACAGGGTATCAAATGCTTGGCTGAGTTGACTTTCCCTGGGAGAAATCTGAAGGGCTAACCCAGTTTCAGAGCACTGAATAGGAATTGCTGAGGCCTTGGTCACTTCTACATTGCAGTTCAACTTCTCCTTCTGCCCATTCCTGTTGCTAGTACTACTATAGAGGTATTGAACTTAAGAGTGTTCTCCAGTAAACTTGCTGCATTCCAGTCTTTCTTAGTCTCTGCTTTCAGGGAACCTAACCTGAGACATCAGCCCTGTCAAAAAGCATCAAAAGATGAATGAATGGATTCTGTTAAGTGTCACAGAGAACAGTTTGATCAGATTTACTGTGGCAGAAGGTAGCAGCCTTAATGTATTAGCATTTGAGCACCTATAAGAAACATACTTCAATTTGAAGCTGAAATTGGGTCCTAGACAAAAAAATATATATATTTTTCTTCAGATCAAGTGTGCCTGACTAAAGAACTTACCCTAGTGTTGTAAATGAATATAAACAATATAACTTAATTAAGAAATAACCAGATAAATAAATGGAAAACTATTCAAAAACATATTTAAGAAGGGGGTGAGTCCTAGAACTAGACATGAAAGGCAGACTCAGTGCTAATTGGCCAGTAATAACTGGGAAAAATTACTGGATAAACAGTGGTTTCCAATTATCCAGAATAATTTTTCTAAGTGTACACATTACTTAGAGACAACTCCATTTTCTGGGCTGCAGATGCAACATTTATGTTCTCCCTTCTGTATGTTATGTTATCTTAAAATTATAGCTAATCTTTTAGCTGTTGTTTCTCCCTTCTCCTTTATTAAAAACAATTATAACAACACTTAACCTTAATTGCTCTAAGGCAATTTCTGCTGATAATATATGTTTATTTTTTTCCTTTGGTTTACATAGAGCATGTTTAAAATACAAATGTAGAATGCCTCTTCAGATTTTGTCATTTATTTTTGTCTCACTTCTATTCTTTGTTTTTCTTACTTTAAAAACAACAACATATCCTATATAATAAAAGCCTAATATGCAAATTGTCCCCTAGACTAGGAGTTCTGTTGGGAGTTCGACTGCTTGCTATTACATGCACTGGCCACCAGGGGGCAGCGCAGAACATGGCAGGTGTTGGCGACATGGCACTGGCAGCAGGTGGCAGTGGAGGCACTGCAGGCCCTGATGGGCCCCAATGAGAATGGGATCGCAGCAGGATGGTGGAACAGGTGAGTGGGCAGTGCCAGGCTAAGGCAGGTGTGAACCACTGGTGGCCAGGCAGGAGTCATCATCCTACCAATACGATCAGCACACCTCTGCCAGGCTCCCAGGCCCTAAGGGAGCCAGGTGGGGACCTGATGCCCTGCCAATCCAATCGCAGGGTGACCAGCTGCACCAGTGGGGGCAGGGCCACTGCCCTGCTCCACTCCCTCAGCACTTGGGAGCCAGGCAGTGGGGGGCAATCTGTGGGGCAATCAGTCCCTGCAGGCAGCAACCAGCAGCAGCAGTGGGGGGCAGGGCTGCCAACCTGCTCCCTCAGCATCTGGGAGTAGGGTGGTGGCAGCCAGGGGGCGGGGGGTGGCAGCATGATTGGGTCCTACAGGTGGTGACCAGTGGCAGCGGTGGAGGGCAGTTGGCCGGGGAAAGGGAAGGAGTACCCACCACAGCCGGCAGTGTCTATGGACCCTACCAGTGCACAAATTTTGTCACTGGGCCTGTAGTACATATATAAATATATTTTTATTGATTTCAGAAAGGAAGGGAGAGGGAGAAAGAAATAGAAACATCAGTGAGGAGAGAGAATCATTGATTGGCTGCCTCCTGCATGCCCCCTACTGAGGATCAAGCCTGCAACCCCAGCATGTGCCCTTGACTGAAATCAAACCTGGGACCCTTCAGTACACAGGCTGATGCTCCATCCACTGAGCCAAACTGACCAGGGCTCTTTGTTTTTTTCTTTAATCCTCACCAGAGGATATGTTTTATTGATTTTAGAAGGATGGGAAAAAGAGAGAGAGATGTGTGAGAGAAACATCGATTGGTTACCTTCCATATGCACCCCAACTGGGGATCAAACCCACAATTATGTATGTTCCCCGATCAGAAATCAAACCCACAGCCCTTTTGGTGTATGGGTCAACACTCCAATCAACTGAGCCCTGGCTGGGGCTCACTTCTATTCTTTATTAAAATTTGTTAGTACCTTAATCCTAATAGATTGCCCATACTAGGACATGATATCAGGGGCCTAAACCAAGGGAAGTGTAATGTTAAAGACATGTTGCCTTCTTTACAAGAAAATCATAATGGTTAGTACATCATGAATAAAACTATGCGCACACACATCAGAGGTGATGCTCTATATTTTATGCCTATTTCTTTGAAATTTCAACTTGCCCAATCTCAGGAGAAACTTCAGCGGACAATTATTTCTTTATTTTTATATTATTTAGTTAATATCGCTCCTAATTTCAGAATGGTTCTTTGGATGATTGATGTCAATTCATAATATTCTGAACCAAAAGGGATATATTGGAGTAAACATTCTTTTTCCCCAAATGTCAAACTAATAAAAAAATAATACAGGTAAGAAAAAATGATATTCAAGGGAGTGGAAGGAAGGGTTGGAAAAAGTGATGACACCAATACTATATAGTGTTGTTACACATTACCAGTTTTTAAATGCAGTAGTTACCATATATTACATGCCTGTATTATATATTTGGGACCAAAATATGGAATATGTGGGTAGCCAATGTATAACTTTTTTCCCAAAAGGAATGATACTAGAAGTAAGTTAAAGAAATTCTGGAAAGCTGCATAATTGTAATGATTTGTGGCTCCTCCCTGCAGCAATGGCTGTAAAAGCAAACACCTATCCCTTGCTATTCAGAACTAATCCAGCAGTTTCTGGAAAGTGATGCTTGCATAGCAAGACACAGAGGGACTTCTTTAAGGACAAAAAAATATCTTGAAGTGAGTTTGAACTACGGAAGAGATGGGACCTTGATTACTTGGGCAAAGGCAACACATGCTTATATTTTTTGAGTACTTTTATGTGTGTTAACTCGTTTTGTCCTCTTAATCATCCTAGGAGAATGTATCATTATTTCCTTATTATATAAATGAAGAATCGGATCCTTAGATATATAACATAACATGCTCATAGTCACACAGTTGTGAATTTTCAGAGCTGACATTGGTACTCAGGTGGTCCAATTCTAGGACCTATATTTAAAAAAATATATACTGCAAAGGCAGAGGTGAGGCAGGGGGGCACCAAAACCACCTTCCACCCCCATTAAACAGAAGGGCAAGGATCAATCAGCTCATTCACTAACCAGAGTTCCATTTGAAATAGGGAAAAAAGTCAATGGATACTGCTTCAATATTTAGTCTCTCATTTCCCCCAAAGATGATCAGCTCCATTAAATAAGGACTTATATTTGGTTTACATTTATCTCTAGCACCAGGAAAGAAAGAAATACTCAATACACATGTATCTCATAAATGAATGAAATGGATGAAAGAGAGACACTTGTATAAAACCCTGATTTTTTTCCTTTGCCTTCTATTCTAGTACTTTTGTGTATAACATTCCCCTATTTTGCCATAAGTATGTGTTGTCTCAAGAACAATTATGATTACAAGCATGAGTGCAAGAAGGAAATGTTTATCTTATGAGTTTCAAATGAGGCCCTTAAAACCCAAAACTGAAATGAGAGTCTTGAGAGAAAAGTATTTTTTGAGGCTTAAGAAAAATGAAGCCCTAGAATAATTGATTTTCCTGTAACATTGAGAGGCTATAAAAGTCCTGTCAAGGTTGAGTCCTGGGGAAATACTTCAAAAGTAGAATATGAAAAAAAGAAGAAAGCAAGAATGTAAAAAGAAGTTAAGATATACAGAAGATAGTCTGAGGAGTTTTAGTACATGTGCAATCAGAATCCTAATCTGAAAGAATAAAGGGAAGGAAGGTTGGAAGGAGGGAAGGAAGGAAGGGAGGGAAGGAAGGAAGGGAGGGAGGGAGGGAGGAAGGAAGGAAGGAAGGAAGGCAGGCAGGCAGGCAATATTCAGTCTGGATGGCTGAGATGTTTCCTGGATGCAGCAGAAACACCAATACTTATATTCCAGAACCCCATAAAATCCCATGTATGAAAAACAAAATAAAAGAATATCTCCACTAGACACATAATAGAGTAACTGAAGAACATCAAACACAGATAGGAAAATCCTATAAGCATCAAATGTGAAAATATCAGTTACCTCTAGGAGAAAACTTGATAACTGATATCTCCACAGCAACATTAGAATCCAGAAAATAAATGGAGTAATATATTCAATATGTTAAAATGATTCTTGTTAGAATTCTAAATTCAACAAACTAATTTTCAACAAGAGGGTCAAAATGGCATTTTTCTCTACCAAGAGACATATAGAACATCTTTCAGGTACAGTAAAATTTGTATCATAAGTAGCTATCAGAAGTCAATAAAATGATATGTAGATCAATCTACCAGAATAGTACAAAATAATCATGATTTTCTGTCCTAATGTCAATTTGAAGCCCCAAAATGATTTTGGTTTTTATCACAGGTGTACTAATTTCTTATTGCTGCTGTTAGAAATTACCACTGACTTTAATGGGTTAAAATAATACAAATGTATTATATTACAGTTCTATTGGTCTCAAGATAATATTACAGTGTGGGTAGGACTGTGTAGCTACTGGAAACTCTAGGGCAGCTTCTAGGGAATAATTACTTTCCTTACTTTTTTAGTTAGAAGTCACCCTCCAGAGGTCTAGAAGTCACCTGTCATCCTTGGCTTAGAGCCACAATCCTCCATCTTCAAAATCAGCAAGATTGGGAGCCATTCCTTTCATTCTCCCTCTTTTGTCTGCTTCTTCCAGTTATAACAACTCTTGTGATTACATTGGGCCCAACTGGTTAATCTGGAATAACCTTCCCATTCCAGGTCAGTTAATTAGCAACCTCACTTCTATCTATAATCTGAATTCCTTTTTGCCATTGACATATCATATGCCTAGGTTCCTGGTTCCTAGGTTAACATCTGTATAGGATGTTGTATAGGGGGGCATTATTCTGCTACTACGGTAGACTTCTAATTCTCTTTACCAGTTTTTAACATATAGTAAAACATGCCCATTCATGTACATTTTTTGTAAGGTAAATTGCTTATAAACTTAAATTTTAAAATCACAAAGACATTACTGACAAAATAACCAAGAAATAGGAAAGCAGACAGATTGTTTTGAAGTTTCTTTTTTTATATATTTTTGATATTTATTTTATATATTTAAATGCCATTTTTTATGATAAAAAATACACTTATTTTTTAATGTATACATGGGCCCTGGTAAGTCCAACAAAAACTTTATTTTATTTATTTATTTTTATTGTTTTATTGCTTAAAGTATTACAAAGGGTTCCCATTAACTCCCACCTGGCTACTCCCACCCCCCAGGGCATGCCCCCACCGCCCCAGTGTCTGTGTCCATTGGTCATGCTACTATACATGCATACAAGTCCTTTTGTTAATCTGTAACCACCCACCCCCCACTCCCCTGTC